TGTTCTGTTCTGTAATTTTTTTTGGATTTGGTTTTATTTCTGATTCACTATTTCTTTTTTGTTGTTGTTGTTGTTGCACTGGCCTGCTTTTCACAGTAATGTTGATGGTAATGATGGTTTTGATTAGTTGACCTCTCTGTCTCTGCTTATTGTGTTCTCGTGTGTGTGTGTGTGTGTGTGTGTGTGTACAGTTCGTATGCATAACTTACTCATGTATCATGGTGATTCATAATTGTTTTATTTATTTTTAATAAGTCAGCTAACAACGCATCAAATTGTATGTAAAATTTTATTACTTTACTGTTCATTGTCTAACCTAGTAATCAAAAACGAGGAATTGTGTACACACGACCTGTACGAACTGGTTTCTGTGATGGGATTGGTTCCGTATTAGTCAACTTACCGCCGGTTACTGACCACCGTAGGTGGGATAAGTCGGGATGTACAATTTTCGGGGGGTCGACCTTTTCTAACCCCCTTTCTGCGGAGTGGAGAGACAGCATAGCTGGTCATCTGAGGGAAACACTTCACTGCTGTTACACCCCTGCCCCCCAGCAGTACGACTTCGCCATCAGACCCCCAGTAAAGTGTAATAAAGCTTCTTGTACAATGCCGGTAACTGCTTTTAGTCTAATCGCTATCCTAACAACCTCCTTGGCATGGTACGACCTGGAGGAATATTGGTTCCAGCCAGTGTGTAGCTTGTTGGGTGGTCATCGCGATGTGCAAGCCCGGCGACCACCACGTTCAAGGTAGCAGTTATCGGTCGGAATACCTTTCGAAAGCAACAGTTCTATTTCCAGTGACGTGTTACTGCTGTTGTTAGGTGGAGAGATGCATCTCTTAGCCGGCTGGCGTGTCCCAAGTTCGAAACCCCTGCGTACCAACTTTTTTCAACCTGGTTGAGGTAGCTGGATAATAAGTAGCATCAGCCATCTCACCGGCCAGTGTGGCTTATAGCCATTTTTAGAACAAGTCAGATAAGCGAACAGTATTGCTCTATTCAATTAGATCTTCTCCAGGCTTTACTCTAATTTACATAGATTTATATATAAAAAATTTTAACCAATGACGGTGATTTTGTGCATCAAATAATAATAATGATTATAATGTGATAAAATGTTTTGAATGTAGTTAATAACGATGATTATAATGATAACAAAATATTGATAATAAGGTTTATGCAGGTGGCGATAAGAATAACGAGGGTAGTAATATGTGTGTATGCAGACAATTCGTTAAATAAATTAGGTCAAATCTTAAAAGTTATGTAATACTAAAGGTGGGTGAAGTGGACAGATAATCAGAGTTTAAATAAATATCATAAATTTACGAAGAAAAATGGAAAATGATAAAAGTTTGGAGGGTTTTGAATAGAATTCACCTAGGCCAAGCAAGGGAAAGACCAATGTAGAACAAACTTCTTTTGTTGTATGCAAAGACGACGAGGATTGTTCTCTCGAATTAATTCCCTTTGTTTCAGCTGTGTAAAAGAAAAGGCGAGATCGAATGCCATTCGGAAGGCTCTCGATGGAATGTGCAATAGATAACTTTGAAGGCGTTATTTTTGTCCACTTGGTGACCGCTATCAATCAAATGAGCCGAAATAGAACTTCTTATAGATTTTATTTGACCTTTTATAGCCTTCTACACATCAGGAAATGTAGATAGTAGGTAGTAAGTCTTAATTTACAGCACAGAAGTTTATGTGACTATGAGGCATGTTGGCCATTGGAAGTGGGAGACATGAAAAGGATAGCTAACTGGCTTTCATCATAGATGTCTATCTATCTCCTATATTAGGTGATATGATAGGGTAAGTAATACTAAGGACATGTGCTACGCAATCCGAACCAGCCATCTCCTTCCTCGACACCGAGGTATGTTAGCTGACATAGAGTCAGGATGGTAAAGAGCTATTGGCGGTGGTCAAACGAAAACATACAAAATCAGTCCATGAAATCTTTCATTGTTAGTTTAAGCCAGTCAGTCAGGTAGGGTGGTATGTGAACTGCTAAACTGTTTGGGGTCCTCATGATTTTAAGAAACACTGGTTTGAAACAGTTGGTTTAAACAACTCAAAATCGTTTTCAATGACTGACGCCGGTGTATTCACTCTCTGTGTGATCCACCATATCGAATAAAAACCCTGTTGTGTTTCTATGTTACTATTCTTCCTCTCTTAAATTTGTGCTTATTAGTATCGTTTTGAATTTCATTTTTCTCAAATATGCTGTTGCACTTCTCAAAAAAGTCCTCTCTTTAGGTTGAGGGATGACATTTTTCAGTTTGAGCATCACCATCATTAGCTCTTTTCCACGCTGATTCTATGTCAGCCTAACATTGCTCATGCAAGATGATGTTACAGGACTGGACTACACCGACTCCTAGATTAGAAATAGGAAATGAAGTGGTACAGCACGTTGTCCACTTCACTTATTTGGGAAGTACCACCAGCCAACGCCAAAAGGTTGGTCTCTGACGAAATATCAGCCCAAATACAGAGGGCTAGTTTCGCATATGCCAGTTTGCGCCGTTTCTGGCGTAGACGTGATATCCTGCTGGTTATCGACCAAAAGGCAGGTGTACTGCTCATCAGTCCGCTCCGTCCTCCTTTATAACTGGCTGTGAGCGAGACACGGCCATTGAGAGTGGAAGACAGGAAAAGGCCGACTAGCTGTCTTTCATCACAGGTGCCTGCGTTCTATCTCCCGTGTGAAGTGGTATAATAAGGTGAGGAATATTGAGCTGGTTAGGCATCGGTCGAGTGCTAGGTAAGTGGGAGGCGAAATCAACAGACGAGGCTGTGGAGCTACATCGACTGAGATGGTTAGGACATGTGTTACGCATGCCTAGCGATCCATTGCCTTCCTCGACGGTCAATGTCAACTGACATAGGGTCAGGCTGGCAAAGAGCTAGCGGTGGTCAAACCAAAACATGGCTTCATCAGTCAATGAAAGCCATAACAGTTAGTTTAAGCCACCCACGTAGGGAGGTGTAGACTGCTCATCTGGTTGGGGTTCCCGGAACGGTAAAAACCAATGGTTGGAAACAATTGGTGACATGGCTCAAAGTCGTTCTTAATGGCTGGCGCAGACGCATTCACTTCTTGTGATTTGTCATACCCACTAAAACCTTATTGTTTTTCCATATTACTAACTCCTCTTTTTTCCCTCACTGGCACTACTGTGTTATCTGTTTGTTGAATCTCCCTTTAGTCTATTCTGTTGTGTGGTGTGCTAAATGATTGAAATGAATGAAATAAAACAACAAACTATCATTGAAAACCATGGCGCGCTCGTAAAAATGATTTCAAGTAATAATTATGCCTTGAAGCATCTTATGTCCTTCTAACCTTACTTTTATTTTTATACAGAGATTCCTGTATTTCACCTTTCCTATCCTTGACTTGTTAACCTTCGACAGACGGAGTCAGCTCTGAAGGATGTGTATGAAGGTGGTGTAGATCTGCTACCTGGAGATAGGCTTTTCAACCGCGAGTATGCAGACGATATCGTCTTACTGTGCGATAGCATGCAGGCTGCCCAAGTCGCACTTAATCAGTTGGCGATCAGTGTCTGTAAGTATGGTATGTGCTTTGCGCCGTCTAAGTGCAAAGTACTGTTACAAGATTAACAGGAGCCTGTACCTGCACTCACTCTTGCAGTGAAGGTGAACCGCTTGAAGTTGTTGATAAGTTTGTGTATCTTGGTAGTTGTGTGAGTGCTGGTGGAGTGGTGACGGATGAGATTTCCAACCGTATAATGAAGGCTCGGGTGGCATACATCAACTTGAGCCATCTCTGTCGCCGTCGCGACGTTAGCCTAGCTGTCAAAGGTCGGGCATACAATGCTTCGGTGCGGGCTGTCTTCCTCTAGGGTTGTGAAATCTGGCCTCTCTGAACTGAGGATGTGCGGCGACTGCGTGTTCGATCATTGCTGTCTCCGTAGGATTGCTTGCGTTCGATGGCATCATCGCGTGAGTAATTCTGAGGTTCAGTGGCGTGTGTTTGAACACAATGGAGATCACCATTCATTGAGTGTGGTCATCTGGAAACACCGGCTCCGGTGGCTTGGTAATGTGCTGCGAATGTCATCCCAGAGGCTTCCGTACAGGTTTCTGTTCGCTAACCCTGGGACGGGATGGAAAAGGCGGAGAGGTGGTCAGTCCATGACGTGGCGTCGTGGCATGAAACATGTTTGTGCTAGATTAGCATCGGTTGGTGCGTCACGACTCCCTGGCTGGGGTCCGCGAGATAGCTCGAAACGTTATCGGATATAGCCGAACATAGTGCATCGGTGGCACAGTGGTTAGGACTCTCGCCGACCACGTACATGGTCCGAGGTTCGATCCCCTGCCAACTCACACCTGATATCTATGGTCGGCCTGCAAAATTTGGGCTACCGATATCCATGCTGAAAATTCCATACTTGTACCAAAAATACAGTGTGGAATCAAGCTGTAATCAAAAATAAAAATAAAATAATCGTAATCAATGGCGAACGTGTTGCGATTTCTTTCTTCCCTTGCCGATGATGGTTAACGAATACTGTTTGAACCTGTTAAGCATGACTGTTTTCCTTCCAGATGAAGTTCTTTATCCGTTCTCTACTTATATATATATATATATATATATTCTCTTCTTCTTTACTTTTGATCTATGTTGTTTTATTATTATTGTGTGGCGCATCCTTCTTGGTGCCATATTGTACCAAGTTTTTATGCGTTTAAATAAATAAATAATATGTACTAAATGGGCCATAGCAACCTGAACTGCTGCTCTTCTGTTCAAAGTTCTGTGTTAAAACCAGTCAATCGAAATTGTTCTGTACATAAACTGAATCATTTTTTTAGGGTGTACGCAGATGATGAAAGTAGTCAACGGAATAAATGATGGTTCCGTCTTATTCGTCACAAACTGCTGCTGTTTTTCTCGCTTTATTCAAATCCATTATTATTGTTATTATTAATAATGGTAATCTTTTATCTTTATTTTCAGATATATATGTAAAACATCAAACGGAAGAATATTTGTTTTCGCTCCATGGTGTATTTGTATCTATGCGGCACACATGATGTGTTTGGTAGGCCAGTTGGTGAGTGTTGGCCACAATGAGGTGGGTGGCTGATGATGATGGTGGTGATGGTGGTTCGTGTTATGTGAAACCAATACAGACTGATTATGATGGTGATGGCGATGATGTAATCGTTATCAGCTTATTACATTGACCTTATTCATAATGTTTTTCCCGTTTGTCTGCGTATTCGACCTCCTACATATACCTACACATACATACACACACAGACACACACGCACGCATGTAATATGACCTTGTTGATATGCATTTTTCCCCTAATCTCTTCCTTCTTATACATTGGTGGTAATTTGTCTCTCTTGGTATGTGTGTGTGTGTGTACGTGTGTGGTCTCTCTTCTTTTCTCGACTACTTGTGCTGACTATCGATTAACAATAAGGATCTTTATTATTTCTCTTAAGTGAAAAGAAAGAGGAGAGGGGAGAAATAAATGAATAAATAAATAAAGACGAACTGTTTTCACATTACAAACAACCTTGTTCTATTGATTTGTTTTGTTTGCTTTTGTTGACAGTAACTAATTGATTGGCTGATTGATTTTTAAGAGTTCATCTGTAGGAATTAGATTTGTTTCATTCAAGTTTAGTCATGGATTTAATGACAGCCAGTTGTTTCGTTCTTGTCTCTGTCTCTTCAGCAGTGAAACTCCCACCATCGGGGCTCAGACCAAGGACCTTTCGGTTACAAGATACTCAAGGGTTCTGAGTGGATGATGACTACTGTTGAAGAGCCTTAGATGAGGACAAAAAAAACAACAGCTGGCCGTCCAGTACTATCTGGTTTGGACACAGTTCACACCAACCACCTGATACTTGATTAGGAAATTCCATCTTTACGACCTTCTGTTTAACCGCTTGGAGATATCGACCCATTGGGTTTTTGTATTGCAAGCTGTATGATTGGTGTAAATGACTGAGTGACTGTTATCAACGTAGAACTTTGCACGGATGTGCGGCAGTTCCAGTTGCCACACTTCGTTCATGTGCCACAAAACGCAAAAGAGAGTGAAGGCAGATTGAAAAGTCAGATAATCAACTGGAATGTTAGTGAGGGAAAAAAGAATAGTGGTGTAATATGGAAGAACAATATAGTGATTTCATCTACGCCAGCCATTGAAAACGGCTTTGAGCTATATCACCAATTGTCTTCAGCCGTCATTGGTTCTTATCATCCCAAGGATCCCAACACAGCCATGTAGTCTACACCTCCCTAGCTTTAATTAACTGTTATGGATTTCATCGGTGTAAATAAAAGAGATTTAGTTCATTGGTGTGACAAAAGAAACTTTTGCAGTGCGAAAGAGTTTAATATTCCATAATCGTAGAATAAAGGCAGGCTTAGTTGGGTGTCTAACAAATCAAGCAGTAGCACTAAGTAAGTACATCAGCAAACCTAAATAATGAAATGAAATAGGAGAAGACGTGGTGTTAAACAACTATCCTATTTTATAGGATAGGAAGATCAAAAAAGATCAACAGAAGAATATAAATCATGGTGAAACTAATAATGATAGCATATTTACTTTCTTCTCTTGCTTCGCGTGCTACACGGAGTGTGGCGACTTGAACTGCCGCACATTTGTGCAAATTTCTATGTCGAAAACAGACAGCATAAATAAAGAATCAAACAAGCTCTGGATGAAAAACTTCGACCGGAACAGGCTGGATGCAGGAGAAACAAGTCATGTATTCATCAAATCGCCACTCTACGAATCATCATTGAAAAAAACCTTGGAATGGCAATCACCTCTCTATGTCAACTTCATCGACTTTGAAAAGGCCTTCGACAGCGTCGATCGAGAGGTGATTTGGCAACTACTTCGCTACTACCAAGGGGTGCCATCGAAAATTATACATCTCATCCAACAGTCATACGACAATGCTGCATGTCAAGTAATCCACAACGGGAAACTTACGGAAGGCCAGGCTTTCTACTATCGCCAATGGTTTTCCTGATTGCAGTAGATTGGATAATACCACGGACAGTGGGCAATGAGGAAACTGGCATAAAATAGGCCCACACAAAAAACTTGGAGGATCTGGACTTCGCCGATGACATATATATGTCTGATTTTCCACAAACTGGAAGATATGCAGGTGGAAAGCAACAAGCTGGCAGAAGAAGCATCAAACTTAGGTCTACATGTCAACATAGATAAAACGGAGGTGATGAAGATTCTTGGCCAACAGCAACAACAACAACAGACAACAATCAGCCAGCATAAGTGGGAGGAACCCGAAAGAAACAACCTCCTTTACCCACCTGGGAAGCATCGTTTCAACTACAGGCGGACGGAACTGACGAGGATATCAAAGCCAGAATCGGAAAAGCAATGCAAGCTTTCATTACTCTCAAGTCTGTGTGGAGGTCAGCAACACTCAGTATCAAAAATAACATCCGGATTTTCAACTTCAATGTGAAGTCAGTGCTACAATACAGACCAGAGACTTGGCGCGTCACGATGAGCACTTCGAACTAATCACACACCATTATCAAGAGCTGTCCTCGCTCAATACTCAAGTTCAGATGGCCAGAAGAGATCAGCAACAGGGATCTCTAGCAATGAGCGAACCAACCAGGAACCGATTGTGAAACAAATAAGCATGAAGAAATAGGGATGGCTTGTTGGCCATACTCTGAGGAAACCATCAAGTGACATCACTAGACAAGCCATTGCTCGAGTGGAACCCGAAAGGGAGGCGGGGAGTTGGTCGTCATTGCCAGGGTGATTTGGAGGAGGTCATGTGAAGAGGAGATGAAAGCATGTGGGCAGACTTTGAGCCAGGTGAAAACTCTAGCAGAGAACCGAACGCAATGGAGGTGCGCAGCCGAAGCCCTATTTTCCTCTAGGAATTAAAGGAAATAATATTAATAAATAAGAAAGAATATAAGGCATCTACAGTTTTGTCATATAGGAAAGGGGTGCCTTGAGACCCTACCTAGGATTCCTAATAGAACATGAATTCGAGTGGTATTCAAATGTACAATCTCACTCAAGGATAAGCTCTGTAGGTCTAAGGACCGTACTGACCCAATTAAACAGAATAATATAATTTACAAAATACCTTACAACGACAGTATGGATGGTCAGCTACATAGCTCAAACCAGTAGATCAAGGTTAGTCAGATTATCTGAACATAATAATTTAGCCTAAGTGTAGAATAATAATTGGCTGCATGAAGATGGACAGTGTAAAGAAAAACTCAGAAAGGGTAATGCATTCATTAGCACACACACAATAAGGTGGGACGCAACCATTGCTCTAAAAAGTAATATAGATAATGATAATAATAATTTATATTTTCATATAAACATAAATTTACATGAAAATGTATGCCATTTTTACAGGCACGATCAAGTATGGCATAATGTCAAATCTTAGATTGTCTACAAGTTAATAATGTTTCAACAGTTAAATATTTGATATATATATATATATATATATATATATATATATAATTACACTCATTTTCTGAACCAGGCCGTATAGTCATTGAATTGTACAGTTGTCCTCGAGGTTGGGCAGGAAAATCGACTTCGTTTCGTTTTCATCCCGTGGTTGTAGGCATACGATAACCAACCAATATTGAGGTAAGTACAACGTTTACAAGGGATTGGAAGCTGTTTTAGAAAATTAAAAGTGCTAAGGTGAATCATTAAAGTGTAATAAATTAAGTAAGTGCAATATATCATTAATAAATACATTTATATAGAAAACAGAATGGGGAAGTAATTAATCCCTAGGCTGACAACATTCATTTGCAATGTATAATGCTACCCATATAAGTCTTACTATCATGATGTCCACTTTTGGCTTTAATACAATTATTTTCAAGCCAGTTGTTTTTATTTCATGCCTTTTTGTCTATTTGGTGCACAACCGTACCCTACAGAGAACAAGAATAGAATAAGTCGAATAGAATTCATAAAGAGCTATAAAATGTTAGATTTAATGGAATATAATGAGGATCAAGTAAAGACGTTATTAGAAAATGAATGAGATGAGACATTGTAAAGTGGTATTTAAAGATCTGACAATGGATAGCAAGTTAATTTATAAGATGCAAGATAGAGAGAAGTTGATTACTGAATCTTTGTTCGTCGAAAATCTACACCTAACACATGCAGAGTAAGTAGCAATAAATCAATACCAGTACCAATCATCATATCAAAAGACAAGAAATAATGCGATTTTATGTAAACGAAGTGGGAAAGTTATGTGAATAGTGCCTTTGATATGATGATTATGAGTAGCCTGAAATTGTTCTCCAAGCGTTATCAGTTAAAATAATACTATATCACGCCGTGTGATTATCATCAAATAAATCTATTCTCTGATGGAGATTTACATTGATAGTTTAAGCATTCAGCTTCCAGGTTGCGGGTTCGAATCTCATTCCTCTTATTTCAGCCCTAAAGGTAGTACAAATGTGACTTATATCCTGCAGTCTGGTGACTGAGTTCTAAGTAATCTTACAATCGGGTCAACACAATAAGTACTATGTTGTTAGATATTTGTCGGTGGGATCATATCCTATTTTGATAGCGTTATTCAATTCAGTGCAGCTGTAATACTATTTCCGGACGACGACCTACGGATCCAAATTCCAGTGGAATTCAGTACTGTATCTGGTCATATTAATTGTCAATGGTTTTAAGCAAGTTACAACAGAAGTGGGGTGAAGACTTTCAAGTGAAACTGGTCAAATTGCTTACTAGTGAATTATCTTCGCAGTCATCTGATCATTCCTATGCTGAGATTATTGATCGCGTTATCCCAGCTTCACATAACGGAACCTCTGCATTGCCAACTGCTTGTCCTTCGGGTTGTCAAACTCTGCTACCGATCGTTCAAACAACACCTTTTAGGTCTCCTTCGGACCTGATTTCTCCATGCCGTCGGATCCTTGTCACTCATCAAGTCAGCGACGGCATCGAAATCTCACAAGAAGCCCCATGTGTCTCTTTCTTCTAAAACAGAGCTGATGGTGGGATCTTCTTTATCTGGTGGTGGCGACACTTAACCTAACGGTAAAGGAAAAACGGCGTAGCGGAATGCTGATTCGGAATTCGATATATGTATGCATGTAAGAAAATTATTTCTTATTTTAAAATCGTCAAGTGCTACTTCTGCCTTTTTTATTGTGTTTCTCTGTCTTCTTTTCTTGTCTCCCATGTTTTGACGCAAAACTGTCTGTCTGTTGTCGACATAAAACTTTTCACTCATGTGAAGCAGTTCATGTCGCCACACTCCCTTCATCCAGCACACAAACCAAGAGAAGAAAGTAGAAGAAATGCATAATAGAGACAGTAAACAGAGGTGTGAGACAAATGAATAGTAATAACGAAGAACAAAACAGTTTCATTGGAAATCATAAGTCAGGAGGAGTGGATGCATCTGCGCCAGCCATTGAGAACGACTTTGAGCCATGTCACCAATTGTTTCCAACCATTTGTTTTTACCGTCCCGAGGACCCCAACCAGATGACCAGTCTACACCTTCCTACGAGGCTTAGACTAACTGTTGTAGATTTCATTGATTGGGGCCATGTCTTGGTTTGACCACCTCGAGCTCTTTTCCAGCCTGACCCTATGTCAGCTAACATTGCCCACTGTCGAGGAAAGCGATGACTAGGCAGTGACTACGTAACATATATCCTAACCATCTCTCTCAGTCGATGTAGCTTCACAGCCTCGTCGATTGATTTCTCCTCCTTACCTAGAACTCGACCGATGTCT